TAATGTAATTTTATTTTGGTATTTACAGTATGCAGTGTGCAAAGTAAAAATTTGCTTGTAAAGTGAAAATGGTGATAAAATGGTAATGATAATAATGGCAATGACACTGATAAAGACCTCTTACAAATTCCCCACATTACACTGATTTTTGCTAGTTTAATGTCAGTCATGTGAATTCATGAGGTTTATTAATTATAGACAAATAGGCTGTTCACTTTGCAAGGTGATTTCTCCTAGCTTAGTAAATGAGTTGAAAATGAACTTTGTTGCATATGATTGGGTGATGGAAGTCAGCAGAGCTTCACCTTATTCACTAAGATAAAAAAATTACATTGCAAAGTGAAGAGTTTATTTGCCTTTAGTAAATCTAACCCCATACCATGTTTTTGTTGTCACAATTGGGTATTGCTGTTTTTATTATTCATGTTGTATAATTTGTCATATGCCCATTTTCATTGTTTCTTCCCAAAGTGAGATGTTTAGTGTGTACTGGTCTTAGGAGTGTATACTACTGAAGTTATGCTAGGGTACTTTAGTATTTATCATTTTGAAATCTTGTGTATAATACAATGTGTTGCAGGAGGTGCTTTATGATTAAGCATAAGTATGCATGAAAAACGTTGGAGATTTTGTCTGAAACATATGCTGAATGACGATTGAAGAAGTAAAGATTACACGCCAATCTTCAATTGACACAGGAGTGCCACATTTCGTTATAGTTACATTGTGTTGCAAGAGGTGCTAGGGTATTCCCTGTTTTAGTTTTTTTTTGTTTAATTGTGGAGATGCACCTGACTGTAGTTTTTGTAGGGCTGACACTGGGGTGCTTTTATATGGTGTTGCTTAAGGGGATTAACTGAAGTGCTGGCATACCTCCCAACTTTCTGAGCAGAGAAAGAGCCTTCCGGCACAATGTATTTAGACAAATGACATACCCCTGCTATTCCCCCAGTTACGTGGACCATTAAGAATTTTTATGCCAAAAATGATTGGGTAAACCCAGAATTGTTTTTATTTTCCACCATTACATTTTCTTTACACTAGCTTTTCAAAATAGCAAAGAAGATGATTTATTATTGGTATTTATATAGCTCCTACAATTTACACAGAGCTTTACATGCACATTCAGATCAGTCCCTGCCCTCAAGAAGCATACAGTTTCAGGTCCCTCTCTCACATGCACACAGGGCCGATTTAGACAGGAGCCTTCCAGCATGTCTTTGGAGTGTGAGAGGAAACCAGAATACCAGGAGCAAGAGCAGGGAGAACATGCAAACTGCAAAAAGTGTCCTAACCAGAATTTGAACCTGGAACCCCGACTGGTGCAAGGCACCAGGCACTGTGCCAGCCAATAGTTGTAAAAAGTATTAGTAATAATAATAATAATGAAGAGATGAGATAAAGGTTTAGTGCAGAATAACCCTTTTGGTAGTTAGAACATTTTCATAGATATCTGTACATCAGACCAACAAGAGGGACAACAGAAGAGGAAAGAAGGACAGAGGGATTTGGTTCCAAATCAAGGACAGTCCCTCCAAATGAAAGATAGCTGGAAAGTATGTGCTGAGAGTGTCATTGGGTGCTGAATGAGATGCTTCATGCATGGAAGGTCTAAACTGTTGCTATGACTAGGGCCATATTATTTCTTGATGGAGCTCAGAATGTCAGTATTTTCTTAGCAGAACTGTATTACTGAATTGAGCACTAGCCAACTCCTTTCCTGGAAGGAGAAATTTATTTTACAACAAAATCTGTAACACGGGACCTCTGGAATGTGTATTCTCACCATCTAATGCAACCACTATATCTAAGGACTGGTAAACTACAATACATAGAATTTTTGTTTTTGGGTTTAGATATAATTTATTGGCATTAAAGTTCTGTCTTTTGCCATTTGTACACATGCTGATAAATGTTTAAAAAAAAGTATCACTTGATTACTTTTATTCGACACTTACACCACAACCACTTACAAAGCCATCCACAACTCTGTCCCAGGCTATATCTCAGTCCTTTTCTCAAAATATCACCCTAACCATCCTCTCCGCTCCTGCTTTCGAGCTCCCTCGTCAACTCCTCCCATGCTCGCCTCCAAGACTTCACTAGAGTCTCTCCCATCCTCTGGAACTCTCTACCCCAATCGGTCTGTCTATTTCCCACACTGACTGCCTTTAGGCGATCCCTTAAGACTCATCTCTTCAGGGAAGCCTATCCCACCGCAACCTAACCCCTGAAATATCAATTTCTTAAAGAATTCATCCCCACACAGCCACCTCCTCATGTATCACTTGCCCCTCCCTTTTAGATTGTAAGCCCTCAAGGGCAGGCCCCTCCTTACCATCTTGTCTTGAATTGTATTGTGATTGTAATGTCTTCCTTATATTGTTAAGCGCTGCACAAACTGTTGGCGCTATATAAATCCTGTATAATAATAATAATTCAATCAAACAAGAAGAAATAAACAATGTATACACATTTAAATGTGCAAACATTTAAAAAAATGTAAGTTTGAATTGCCCCTAGAGGAAGTCTGTTTGGGTCAAATGATTAGAAGGCATTCTAGGTACACATAATGCTCCAAATAAACATGTAAAGCACACTTTACATGTTTTACTTACCTTTTTAGAGGACTTAGGACATTTACATATAAGCCATATTAATATATTTTAGGTATAGCATGCATTTATGCAGATATAAAATGTAATGGCACATTTTTGAAGAATGTTACTGCACATGTTCCCTTTAGATTGCACTCCTGGCTATAAAGTCCAACATTGGGCACCCTTATCAAAGAGCTGGAACTGGGCAGCACCTGATCTTCCAATACAAAAGAATATACCATAAGACATACTGTGGAGCCAAATTAGACTGAAATTAAAAATATGCCATAGAAGATTGAAGAACCCCAAGTATTATGGGTGTGCTTCTGACAGCAGCAAGCAGGGATCTTAGATGACTTGTACAAAGACAAGTGGCTCTCCCCCTGCTTAGCATTCTTGGGGGATATAGCTGCTCTCCCCCTGCTTAGCATTCTTGGGGGATATAGCATGTCACAAAGTGCCATGTACCAGAAAAATACCAGCCAGATCTCTGCACCCAGGAGCCACATGTGTTGCGTACAGCCTGGCTATGCAAGTCAATGACAGGCTGCAGCTGTAAGCTGGTAGATGCTGCTGAGCGCATAGTGGTATAGATATACAGTATGCTTCTGGGCACAGTTGTACATCTGTACCTGTTTGCAAGTAGCGTTTACCAACACGCCGATTTTTACAGATGGGTTGTACACAGGGCCATCGCTGGCATCTCTTTGGGTCATGTGGGGGTATGGCAGGCAAAGCAGCATGTCCTCTCTGCTTCACAATGTTTGCAGTGTGCCAGCCACCCCCTTTCCAGCCAGAGCGTCCCAGGTTGCTAAGAGCTCGGTGGGGAGATGTGTAAGGGCCATACCCATCTCCCTGCCTAAGCTCTTAGCAACCTGGGATGCTGTTACCAGCAAGAGTGCCCCCCACACCAGTTAGCGTGCACTACCAGCAAACACCCACCCATGCTGCCCAGGATGGTAAAAAGGCTAGGGACACCCCCTGTTGTACACAACACCTATGGCTCCCGCGCACAAGGATTGGACTGGTTTTCACAGTATACAGATCCTTAACTAAATGTAAATGGCCAGTATAGTATAATGTTATTTGAACCTATATAAAGGGCTGAAGACAGTTAAAATACATTCGAAGTAAACCAGTTCATATATAGATATGAGATGGACTAGCCACATACAGCAATGTAGGGGACAGGCAACTAGGAGAAACCTTTATGTAACCTCCACATAGTTAACAAAGATGTGTGAAATTTCAGCACACACACAGCATGTTACATACAACTTACAGGTTACAATAAGCCAAGACAATCCAACGTTGTGTGATGACCATGCCCTTCAACAACCTCCTTCCTTTCACCGTTTCTCATTTTATGCTTAATTTTTCATATATTTATTATTCTATCTAATATACAGATTTGCAGTTTCTCTCTGAAATGGCCATATAATTTAAAGTGTATATAGACCCAAACACAAAAATGTAATATATTGCAGCTTGCCAAGCCTTAAATGTGGTGGCTGCATTAGTTCTCTTTTTTAGTCTTTGTTCCCTTTATTTTAACTAGATGATCCCACCAGTTGCACATTTCCTGTCTTATGGTGGCTCCAGGTTGGAGGAGCAACAGAGCCAGACTTGGACAGCTGCGTTGTCACCCTGTGGAAAGGCTAGAGAGTGTAGATGCACTAGCAGATTTAAATGGACTTGACTATCAAATAAAGTTGAACTCCAGCTAACACTTTTTAAGCAGTTACAGCGACAGTTTTTTTTTTTCCATTTGGGATAAAGGTTTTACACAAATCAATAAAAGCTGACCATTGTAGGCACCCCTGTCAGTGTTAGATAATTTGTCTCAACCCTCTATCTGCCACTTTGGACAGTTTGGCTGTTAAAAGAAGTTGAAAATAAACAGACTTACTGGCTGGTTAACCACATAATAATAAAGGGAAAAAGCATACAAAAAGAAAGCTAATGCAGCCACCACATCTAAGGACTGGTGAGCTGCAATATATAAAATTTTCTGCATTTGGGTTACATACGGTGCAAGAGACAGTGGACAAAAACATTAACATGCATTGATATGTTTAATAAATGTACTACATTCACAATATTATTTAAATGCTTTAAGGGCTAACTGAAAGCATAACACATACAAAGCCCCTTCTATAAAACTATTGCCATTCATGTATATCTAGAAACATAAGAAGAAAAAAAACAGCCAGTCTGCAAAGAAATGTATGCTTTCCCTGGAAACCAATTATAATAAAAAAGTAAATTTACATGAGATATGACACCGTTATGAAGGAAAGCAAATCTGTTTTTAAAATAGCTGATCTCATCAGATAAACGGTTTATCAGACATCTAACTTATACACTTCGTAACTTCTATATATATTGTTTCCCTAACAGAGGCCTCTTTATTACAATTCATGATCGTGGTCATCTATCCACAGTAATAAAATCATGGCCTGAGGACAACATTAAGGTAATGTATGCTCGGTTTTCTTTCAACGTAAGTAGTCAATTAAAGAATATTACCATGTAAATGTAAGCAATTATGGAGCTGAGCAGGCCACATAAGGACATGAACTCACACTGCATTGATGAAAACAAAAAGCTTTAAAGCAGCTTGTAATAACGTAGGCTTATTCTGATCACAGTTGAGATCAGGAACACGCATAGAAGGTATGTGCTTATAGACAGAAGAGGCAGAGTTGGCGCTTTTCTTGTATAAATATTGGTCACGCATTGTTTTTTTCTATTATCAGTAGAAGTAGTGATTTCATATTAGGGTATTTACATCAGGACTGGACAATTTAATATGGATTCTAGGAGCCATCTTAATTGGCAACAACTAGAGAAGACCTCAGTTGGGCGCCAGCTGTAAATTATGAGAAGCATTGGCTTTCTGGCTCCTGGGATCTGACCAGCCCTAATTCACATATTACCACAACATATTACCACAACATTCTAGGTTAGGACCAAGAAAACAAGTAAAAAAGGTGATCCTAGCAAAGAGGTTCTACTAAGGGAACCAAACGTTTGGTGCGTACAGGCTCCATTGATGAATGTTCAGAGGTGCTAGAGATGCATACAGGGATCACAGGCTTGCTACTCAGGTATTAAGGTATTTTACCCATTCATTGCTGTGGTTCGTGTTTCTGTTACAGCTGTAAATATAAGACTGAAGTCTAAATGAAAAAAAAAGTGAGATAATCTTACTTTCTCAAATATGTACAAAATGCAACAAAACAGCAAACGTCAAATAGTTATATATTTCATAGATTTCCTTCATTTCCTTGAAAAGACGATGCCAAGTGGGAATGCTTAAAAACGTATGCAGTTTTCCGTTAAGGTTAAAACACACAAATATAAAAGTATAGGATTACATCAAAGCCTCGTGATATATATAATAGTACAAATTGTGACTTAAAATGGGCACATATTGAATAGTACACTTCTGCCTAAAACTGTCAGATTATCCTGATCTTCACCCCTCAGAATAAGCAATCTTAATATAACCTTTACAAGAAAGAAGCTATGAATGGACTGAGGGATGGAATATATTGCAGTTCTATGACTACTTTATTAAAAGTCAGTATTTCAACAAGTTATATATTAACAAGAGACTCACAGATGAAAGATGATCCAGTCAAAGTTATGGTTTTAATGGTCCACTGCAAAAAACACTAAATCTGGCAATAGACTGTTTTATTTTGGGCTGCCTGCAGCCTATTTGACCACTGGTTGGTGCAGGGGATAAGGAACCTCTAGACTGCAAGGTCAGTTCTTTGTGTAAAAACTAATATTGAATAGATCTATTTAATCACTTCTAAGTTGTGGGTGTAAAAGGTACACCCTAAGAAAGCTTCAACAAAATTCTTAGGGCATACCTCCTCTGCTTTGCTCTTCTGTGGCTGCTCCTCCCCAACCGCCAACCGCTATTGCCAGAAAATCCCGCAGCTCCTGTATGGAATGAAGCTTCCAGTGTTCAGAAGCTTCATTTTACACAGAAGCTGTTACAGCTGCATGTGTGATACAGGGCAAGTCAGCCAGGAATTTCTGGCATTATTGATACGTCATTTTATTTTAAATGTGTACCTCATTAGCCCCTTTTAAAACTTTAGTCAACTCTAATCAGTCCTAATTAACGCTGTCCTCCTCATGGCTACTATTTTGTAATTTCAATTAATAACTCATATATATATATATACAATCACAATCCTTTCTGACCCACTGTACCTGGACTGGGTTTGGATGTGTCTCCGCTGGTTGGGGAGAGCATAATATTGCATAAGAGTTTCATTTGTGTGAAAACTATAATTACACACCTTCATTTTGCTAAACAATATGGAAACAGTCATTTGGTGCATAAAACATTCAAATAATACAAAAGTTTTGTACCAGATTTAAACTGTTATAGCACACATGTTATGGTGTTATGGTGTTTAGCGCAGAGATAAAATAAGAACACAATTGTATAAACCTATTCTGTGTTTGCAGTCTGTTGTAGTGACTGATGGAGAGAGGATCCTTGGTCTGGGGGATCTTGGAAGTTATGGGATGGGAATTCCTGTTGGCAAGCTGGCACTTTATACAGCATGTGGAGGAGTAAAGCCTCAGGAGTGTCTACCTGTTATGTTGGATGTAGGAACTGATAATGAGGTATGTATAAAATCAGTAACATAAATATTTTTATACTTTTAAAGTTAAATCCCATGAATTCACTTATTGTAGCAGCTTAGTTAAATATCACATCTGCATTTACAATGATTATTTGGAAAGAATTAGGCTGCATGTGAACACTGTAAATAGTAATTTTTTTCAAACCCAGATGCGCTGTATATGGGGTTTCCTGGACATTTGAGGTACTCAAATATCATCTGGGATATAAAGATTCTGAATAGAAGAAATTGTCTCACATACGATGACCAATTCTATTGGCCTATGTTAAATCCATACAGTCAGATTAGTTCATCACAGTGGATGGCCCATTATGTTAGTCTTCACAATGCCTAACTCTGCCGATATATGGACATCAGATGTGCAGGTATGGAATTTTATTTTGGCGAAAACCACCTACAGAAGAAATAAATACCATATACAATTAATAATTTTAAGCACACAGATATACTTATAAAGTTCTAAGTCTGTAAATGGTAACTCCCGAGGGAATCAAGTGTGAATTTGAGTTGAGCTTTCCTGCAAGCAATGGAAAACGGATCCTAAATAAGCTTAATTAGGTTCCACCAAGCAGATTGCTTAAAGAAAGATTGTAACAATGTTATGCAATGTACAGTTTCAGTTTTATTTTTGATACACTGACTAAACAGTGAAATAAAAACCTGTAAACATTCTTAGAAGAGTAACGGATATTGGTGATATCTACTTCTTAAACACCATTGTCTTTAAACACTCATTACTGTTTATTAATAGATTCCTGGCGTAATAAGGTATCGTCCTTCCTAAGAACATATTAACTATCAACAGCAGAGACCTGCTGGATTTAATATGTTTGGAGAATGACTAATTCCTTGATCTCAGATGCTTGACTATATATTCTATAATTAGACTCCCATGTGTTGTAAAAGGAAATCAATACACCAGTTTGCTCATTTCCTATAGCCACAGCTTGTTTTCGTGCAGGTGCCAAAAGAAACAAAACCTCTTATGAATTTATTCCACTAACTCAGTTAATCCAGGTGCATCTGGGGTATGTATTTTAGAACATAGGCAATCTAAATGACATTGAATGGCAAAATCAAAAATGTTTAGTAACAAAAATGTTAAGGGGCTTTTAAAGCGTCGTCTATGGACTTTTTGGGGTACTGAATATTGTCGCCGTTTCACAGACGTACACAATTTTTAACCTGGGCATGTTGGGTATCTATTTACTCATTGTAACCTCATGTTTTATATTGTATTAAAAAAATGGGTATTTTCTTGTGTTTGGGGCCCTAAATTTAACAAGTGCATTTTTCACTAAATGTTTGGGTTTGATATCGTGCAACATAAAAATGTGCAACTGCCACCATTTTATTCTACAGGGTCTTGGCTTTCAAAAAAAATATAATGTTTCGGGGTTTGAAGTAATTTTCAGGCTTAAAATGTAATTTAATAACATGGGTGCAAAAAAAAGAAAAAAGGCCCCCTTCATTACCAGGCAATATTTACATTTCAGTGCTATGAAAATATGACTGATAATTACTCCATCCAACAACACTTTTATTTAAAAAAAATTGAAAAAAAACTGTTTCTTTCTGTTTTAACACATATCAAGTTAAAATGTCAGGGCAGTACAAAAACCCTTGAAATCACCCCTTTTTGGAAAGTAGACACTCCAAGGGGATCCGATTTCGTGCCACAATTTTGTGAGGTTGGGAATGGTGCACTAGATACAATAAATATACAGACCATACACAGAGGGAAGCAGAGGTGAAAGGGTTAATGTCAAGGTTACAATCAGTTGAAGGCTGGAGAAACTGGGTTAATGTACAGATGTGGAGGAAAAGGGAGGTGGGAGGTGAGCTAAATTACTGTGGATTGCAGTGTGGTGGGCACAGAAAAAGGAGACCCATGTGCCAGCCTGCACAGTCTGTGACATCAGGGGAAGAATGTTCTGTTAGGATGCTTGCAAAGAAGGAAATCAGTGAAAGAAGCTTCTAGAAGTGGGTAGCAGAGAGAGAATTAAATAAGTCAATTGGGGTTATAATTTTAGAATAGTATAAAATTCTTTGCTGGCAATCTGTTGTCCTTTAGTGGCAAGAAACAAACAGTAAACAATTGTTGCCATATAACACATGAAAATGTCAGTTTTGCAAAGTGAAATAGTTCTGCTGCACACCTACAGAACAGGTAACATAGCACATGTCTCTAAGGTGGCAACACTTATAATATTATTATATTAAGCTAGCCGTTGTGATAAGATTACATCAATAAAGGAAATTTGGAATTTAAATACTTAAAAAGGTATTAAAGTCAAGATGTTTTTATTATAGAACAGGTAACATAGCACATGTCTCTAAGGTGGCAACACTTATAATATTATTATATTAAGCTAGCCGTTGTGATAAGATTACATCAATAAAGGAAATTTGGAATTTAAATACTTAAAAAGGTATTAAAGTCAAGATGTTTTTATGCTATTAACCCCTTCATGACTGAGCTAGTTTTCAGGTTCTGTTCATAAATGACTGACACATTTTTTAAATTTTTGCTGTGTGATTCTTCCACAGCAGTAATATACTTTCTTACTAAATGTACCCACACATATTATATATAGTTTTTTAGAGGACAGATAGGGCTATATAATTATATCACATATGTGTACCTAACCCCTCACTTCG